GGGGCTTTGACTGCCCACGAGGGTATCCACTTGAGATACTAGGTGAGGACCCCATGGTTGGTTAATATTAAACTGGAAGATGGCATACTATCATGCCGATTGGGCACTATTGGACAAAGTTCTCCTCATAATGGACTTCAGGAAAAAATGGAGGCCATGAATGAAAAGCTGCATCTCATCGTCCTATTTCTCCATTCTCATCAATGAGGTACCACAGGGATACTTTCCCTCCTCTTGGGGGCTCAGGCAGGAAGATTCTCTCCCATTTTGTTCACTAATGTATCATAAGTCTTCAGTCGATTGATCTCCAAGATTTTCCAACACGGTGATTTTAATGGGTTCAAATTTTTCTAGTAGAGGCCCTAAAATTAGGGGTGAGAATGGGTCGGCTCAGGGCCAGATCTGACCAGATCTGGATCCTAATGGTATAAATTGGATCTTGGATATTCGGATCTCGATCCAAATCCAAATAGTATACATCGGATCTGGATCTGGATAATATATATACTATTTAAAAAAAATTATGTATATAAAATATAAATTTACTATTAAAAAACTGGGTTGGATCCAGATCTGGATCCAGGTCAGTTCCACCTGCACCCAAATTCGATCCGGATTTCAATTGAATCTAACTTTTGGATCCATATCCGGATTTCGGATCCAAATTTTGGGTCCATACGCAGATCCGAATAGGGTCTGAAATCCAGGTTTTGGATCCGAATCGGGTCAATTCTCACCCCTGCCTGAAATCTTTCATCTACAATACTGGGATGACACATCTTCTTCGAGGCAACCGCCCAACATGTAGACACACTTTGCAACTTTCTAGGGTGCTTAGAAGTCTCCCTGGGATGAAAATCAACATGTCCAACCCCAAGCCCATGGGTAGTGAGGTGGAATGCCAAATTGGCATGTGGAGTTGACTCAGCACCCTCCAAGTATTCTGGCCTACCTCTCTTCAGATGCAAACCATGTGAGAAACTGTGGGATGCTTAGTCAAGAAATTTGAATGAACCCTGGCAGCTTGCAAGGGAAGGTTCTTTTAACCTTGGGGAATGCATCACCCTTATTAAAGCCATCTTATCAAATATTTAAATTATTCAAATGCCCTTGTTCCATATGACAGCCTCCATTAACTCTTGACAGGAGCACCTAACCAACAACTTCCTCATGTCCAAGGCAGGTCAAGCACACAAATTCCAGCTGGTCGCTTGCGAGAGGTGTGCAGCAAAAAAAGATGGGGCCCTGGGTATTCAAAATCTCAAAAACTGTCAAATCACATTTTGGGAAAGTGGTAGTGGGGTTTGCCACTCAACAGGGTCAGCCACTCAACAGGGTCAGCCATGGGCTTGAAATTCTAATGGTGAGCCACCAGGATTCAAGAAACATAAGCACTCTTCAGAGTTAGGAGTTGAAACAGGCTTAGGCAAGGGCTCAGCCCTACTGAGCAGGGCAGGAGTGGGGAGCTGGAGTGTGGGAAGAGGACACTCCACTGTAGGGGACCCTATTTACAGAAGACCATTACTTGATTCTGAGATCCATGAACTAGCTGCACTTCTTGACCTGCTCCGATAGATGTTCCTGCCTCATTCGGGACAAGACAAAGTGGAGTGGTCACCGACTCATTCCAGCGAGTTCTCGCTCTCATCCTTCTACCATGCAGTAACTCATAGCCTGCCTCACCCTCCCATTCCAAATAAAGCAAAGTTATTTCATTTCGCACCAAAGTCCAGGAAGTCTACAAGGTAGTGCTGTCCAATGGAGCACTCCCCAGTTGTCCAGCTTCAAAGAAGAGGTATCCAACTTACACATCTCTGCATTATGTGCAAAAACCTCAGAGGATTTCTCCATTGTCTGGTCACAAGCCAGCTATGGGTTATTGCTTTACTTCAACTAGCTTTGGGTCATACCTGGGTGCACCAGCTATTCACAGCCTTTTATCCCACCCCCCACCCCGCAACCCCTGCCCAAAAAAACAAAAAAAAAGGAAAGAGAGAAAAAAAGAATCACCCAAACACACACACACAATCGGTTGGGTGGTTCTTGTGGAGAACTTCAGCCATGCCCACTATCTGGGTCATTTGACTTGAGAGAAATTTCCAGATTTTCAAATGGAAGGAAGCTAAAATTCATGCTATCAAAGACTGCATTAGATAACCAATTTTTGGGGAAAGGATCTCAAGGAGTTCTTTGTGGCCGATCTTGCGACTAACTGGTAGGCTGTACTATCCTTTAAACCAACCTCAGTTTGTAGATCAAGCCTTTGGAGATCATCAGAATAAGAGAGCAACAAGTTCAACTTGGATGCTTTCTATAGAACTGGGCTCAGCTGGCTTTGAGGGCAACCTTAGAGATGTTCTGGGGCTTTCTCTGTTGTCCTTCTCAGGGAACATAGGCGGTGTTAACAAGAGCCGAGATGGTTGTCTGCGTGAAAGGTTGAAGAAGTTCGACCCATCCAGGGGAAAATTACCACTCAAAAAAAGGAGATGCTATGGGCTTCTAAGTCAACTCAGTGTCCATGGAGACTTGAACCTCCGTGTCATAACATCTTTAACCTTTGCAGGCCTCTACAAGTTACTTTCAGGCATACTTGGCAGGAGGACAATGTGAAGCTGACGCTCTAGCCAAAGCCGCAGGTGCCATTTTGGGTAGCAGCTGGCAGCCTTTGGAGCGCTTGCTCCACAAGGGGGTCTCTACCCCATCCCTTTTTTTAACTCTTTTGATGTCCTGTTAAGCACCTTGCTTGTGGCTTGCCAGATTTTATATACATTTGCAGTTCTGTTGTATGTATGTGTGTGTGGGCGTATACATATAATACAGTTATGCTGGACCAACAAGCACATAATAGTAAGTGAAAAGTGCATAAAAGAGATTTGTAGCCTCTGATGCCCAAATGGATGTTAAACACACTCAAAACATAAGCCAACAAGATGTCACCAAAAATTTTGAGAAATGGGAATCCAAAAACTATCATCGAAGTGGCCTTTCACTCAGCCCAAAAACTGATTGCCTTTCAAGCCAAACCGATAGTAGGGAGATCAGTAACCAGACAAAATGAATTATTTTCCACATGCAATCACCTCATCATCACTATGGGAGTACAATTTTGGGGGCATGAATGCAAATGAAATGTTCTTCTTCTTCATGTTATGAAAAATTGGAATATGGAGTTTCTTTTTTATGATTTATATCAGATGGAACTGTTGGAAGAATTTACAACCTAATCTTTTTTTTTTTTTGGAAGTAAGATAACAATATATTAAATAAAGAGAACAAACTAAGTTATTTTCTAAATGCTAAAACATTCAGTCATTTTTAAAGCTTATTTTAACTTCCCTACATAATCATCAATTTTCCCAAGTTGGGGCTTAAATATCTTGGACTTCCATTGTATTTCAGAATATCGCACAAAATACTCCTAGTAGGTGTATAGACAAGCTAATGAGTAACTGTATGTACAACAACGGAGAAATTGAGGGCATTCAGTAGTTGCATTTAATACATTAAAATTTTGGATTATATTTGGTCCAAGATTCTTTGAGATAGATGAGTGGCAAGACAAGAAGGGATAAAATTCGAAATTTATACATTCAGGACAATTTAGGTGTGGTACCAATAAGTGATAGGATGAGAGAAAGTGGACTTATGTGTACTGACTGTGTGTGGTGTAGACCTAGTATAACACCAGTTAGGAGGTGCGAGTTATTTCAAGTGGAAGGCTCAAAAAAGGTGAAGGCTAGGCCCAAAAGGATATGGTTGGCAGTAGTGAGAAAATATATGAGGCTTATGGCCATACTAAGGGTATGACCCTTAATAGAGCAGAATGGCAGACCAGGATTCATGTAGCGGACCCCAATTGGTTGGGAAAAGGCTATGATGATGATGATGATTTGATACATGATTCACAATAAATAACACCAGATCCACAAATGAGGGAAAAGTAATGGACTTAATTTGACCTGGTTTATTAAAGAAACAATTAGTACTACTTGGAGTTTCAGCTGATGGAACATTCACAATATCGGGTAGAATATTGCACATATTAAGAAGAAGCAAACACAGTTAATGACATCTTTCACTAAACTTTGACTGGAGAATACATGTAGAACAAACAATTTTATTTCTTTAACTATAATCATCAAATAATTTTTTTTTTAATTATAATCGTCATCATTATCTAGCCTACCAAAGAAGAACATTTACCAGGATTCCATATCTTCCTGGAACAGATGAACTGCAATTTCGAAATTCAGTTATCACCATAATGAAAAGCCAAAGCTTTAGCCAACTTCGCGTTATGAACACCAGTTATCCTGGAGTTTGGGTAAATATACTCAGGCAACATGCATTATTCTAATTACATTCCCAATCATCATCTACACTTCTAAACCATGCAAGGAAAAAACAAAAGGACACACTAGGATTCTACACAATCCTAAAAATAATGACCTGTACTTCTCAATTTAGCACCTCCATAATGAGAAGCCAAAGCTTTTGGATAATTTCATGCTATAACACCAGTTATACTGATGTTCAACAGCATATGGCCAATACATTCCTCACATTGAGGTTATGGCCTCTTTCAAGAGCGGAATTAATGGGTTTTCATATCAGAAATAGAACACAAATGTATCAAAATAAATGGAACAACTCACATGTCCAAATATTAATGCATGAAGATGAAAGCTCCTAGAAATCTATCAATGTCACCAATCAACATCAGTGTCTGCGCTCCCATACAATCAAAGAAGATCATGTGCCACTTAGTCATTTACTTTCTTTTTCTTATTTTGGTAAATGACGATATTATTTAACTATTAATTTGCAAACAGATCTCAATAATAGAAGGATATAAAAATTGTAACTAATGAAATTTAAAAAATAAAGCAGGACCAGCTCCAAAAAATCATTAGACTCTTCAATCATGCATTAGACATTTCATAAATTACAATAACCCGCCAAGAAAAAGAAAAGGAATATGCAGGGTAACATGCACTCACCTTGAACACGTGAGGAGCCACAATCTGATTCTGACATCTTGAATTCATCTCGTACCCTTGCCAACTCCAGTTTCATTTTTTCTGCTGAAGACATGTTATCTGGATGGAAATACTGCAGAAAACCAGATCCATAGAAACTATTGTCAGGAATCAATTAATTAAATTAGGATTCGAGTCATCCAATGATATCAAAGGCTTACAATCTGAGACACAGAAAGACCTAGGATGCTGTTTTGAGATTAAATGGTTGACATCAATTTATAACATCACAGGCTTATTCAAGGTTCCACACAATGGATGACAAAACAGGATTTAAGTCATTTCCAATGGAATTCTCCTTTAGTCTGTGTTCATAGGCACATTGTGGTAATCCTCTTAGAGGTTATTCTTAAGGACCTGCCCTATTTGCCCGGAAATTTAAAAATAAAAACAAAAGAAATTATTAAAAGAAAAACGAGAAGAATATATAACTTATCACCACACAAACACAAACGCCCCCCTATAGAAGTTTGAAAATAAGAAGTAAGGCTCATGGAAAAGTTAGTTATGAAAAAGTTAGTTATCGATCACCTTTTCAATCAGCTCATCTTTTGGAGGTGAAAGCATGAAGCTTGGGGTCACTTGCCCGCCCAATTGACCTAACATCGCCAGTCTCTGCACTACATATTGCATGATTTAAGTCAAACACACTATTCCCAAACCGCTAATTCCAAACTCTGTAATACAAAAGAATGATACATACGAGCAAAGTATCAAATATTAGCAAATAGGACAGAAAGAAACCCTTCCATTTGGGGGGGGGGGGGGAGGAGCCACATTTGTTTTATCAAAGTCATGCATCAGAAACCAATGCTTCACATTTAATATGGTCCTGGTCATTCTCTAGTTATTGATGTGTCTAAAACCCTCATGATCTGTGCTCAATCAAAATTTCATACAAGCCTAGGCATCCCCAATTCTTCATAATGCAATCCAAGATGTTAAAAGTTGATTCCAAGCTGCAGAGATCAAATCAAGTTAAATGGATGCAAATTTACTAGCTCATAAACCAGCCAGCATTGAAGTTCGTATGTCTAATTTGTTTAACATAAATTGCAGTTCTCCTATTACATAAATTTCCTAGCAAATCCCAAACTACTGACATCTTACTTCAAAATAGAAAGACAAATTAACAATGTTAGCATGTGTATACACCCGTGTATGTGCACACACAAAAAAAAAAGATATCATTTCACCTTAGAGAGAAGTTTGAAGATGCATATTACACATGCACGTGTTGAATTCTGCACCTTGTATTGCATCTATTCAATTCTAATTTTAAATTTACAATAGTGCAATTTAAGTCTTTTGGAGATTGATCACCAGCATATTTTGTATCACATCAAGGAGTGCTAAGTTCATTTAACTACTAAAAAATTTGCATATTGATCATCTGGTCTTCTTCTATTGAAGACCAACAAAACCAAGATATCAAAGCTTCTTGGCATCTGCCCAGCTCCATTAACAGAAGGAGCACAGCATACACCACATAGTAGCTGGAGCCTACGGACTAGCAGGAAATCTTGGTTTCAGAACCTGAGTGGCACACCTACAGAAAGTTCTGGTACAAGAAGACACATCTATGGACTGCTTCAGAAAGATAAAAGCGCTTAATAAAATCTTAAATATTACAGCTGGAAACGAATGGGTGAATATGCACATAAGAAACTAATCAATTGTTCTGCATGGTTACCTCCTCCAATAGCAGTGAAAATAGGTAATAGATTTCGACAGACTTTGATGGGTTGATATGAGTGCACCCCAAAGGCCAATTTGGGAACCTTGTTGGACATGCAGCCACTTCAAAAGGGGCTTTCAACTTTAAAATTTGGGTTGAATGCCAGAATAACATCAAGGAGTTGGTCACTGTGGTGGTCGCATGCCAGGAGGACCAGGTTTGGGATCAAAAGAAAACTTTAGGTCATTAAGACGCCATCATAGAGGGTAGAATTGATAATATTTTGGCCTAACAAGAAAGAGAAAGAACATGACTTCTGTATTTGTTGGATCAGGAGAAAGAGTAGGGAAGCACATCCAAGGAGGATAGACTAAAAAGGTTGGTAATGAAAGTTGATTACAAACACAGATTAAATCAGGAGAATATTTTTTGGCATCACAAGACTATGGTAAGTTGGAATAGGGGAACAAGATATCCAACACTACAAGGAAAGCTAACTAAATCGCCAATATTCTCATAGATGGGAAGAAATATGAGGACCATAAGGATGTGGACGAGCAAATGCGGATTTTTTTCAAAAGCTCCACACTAAAAACCAAGTTTTAGATCCAGATTGGATAAAGAATATTCCAGGTGACATGGCAAGATGTTTTCATAGAAGGTTTGAACAAGAAGAATTTTGCTAGGCAGTTTTCACCAAGGGACAGGACTGGGCACCACGGCCTGACTGTGTAACTGCAGTGTTCTCACAATATTTTGGAGAGTTTGGTGGAGATGGGCAATTTAACACGTTTCATGAGGGTCCTAATCGTTTGAGGGGTGAATGCTACCTTTATTCCCCTCATCCTGAAGGTCATCGACAGCATGATCTTAGATGTTACCACACATTTTACTTATTACCACAAACTCTTTCTGATACACCAATTAACAAAGCCCTTTTGGTTTTATGAAGGACCTTTTTGGTTTTATGTCTATATATAATCCTGGCCAAGGACCTAGCCACCATCAATCGTAACTGATAAAAAACATCAATTCTCCTTGCCTTGGTACAGGGGTAAATCCCAGATTGTACCCGTAGCCCATAAGTGCTAAGTTGCAAATATAGGGAAGGAACAAGGTGAACATAGGAGGGCTAAAACCATGTAGATTTGGCCAATTGGCCTTGTGTAATTCTTGCTTGTATGGACATCCAATACATTCCTCGGGGTTGGAAAAGACGAGTTTCAAATGCCTCAATTATACCAAAAGCAACAGATGAAGCAGGAAATACTGATAACATTCGTATCGACATTGCTAGGTGGAGCGCAGGAAGAGAGGGGCCTGTCCCTCCTAGGCCTTCAGGCAGCGGCAACCTTGTGTTCCTAAGCAGAGGCAGAAAATCAAATTCTGTAGTTTCTGATTTCGAATCATAAATATTGTTCTAAGTTATGTCAATTCAGTTTTTTAATCTTCCTCAGCACATTGATTTGAGCATAGAGGCTGCCTGCTGTTCACCCTGGTTCTAAGTGGTGCCTAGATGCCCAAGCAGGCTGCTTTGGATGGAACTTCCTAAGAAAGTACATGTGATAATCAGTAATAATGTGCCCGCACAAGAAAAAAAAGAAAAAGGTAAAGGGATAGCCCCATGTTTTAACTTCAGTCAAAAGCTAAGTCATAAATATTTTATCCAAGGTATGGAGTACGTACATAGACACTTAAAGGTCAAAATAATTGTGAGATATAGGCATTGACTGTGAACCTCAAAATAATCAAATGTGTTACAAGCACAGATTGTTGCAGATTTTTAGCTTCAAAACCAAAATGAAAATGATTCCAGAGGAAACGTGTTTTCACCTCGAGAGACAGAAATTTCAAATGTAAGTTATTTTGTCCAAAGGCGTGGAGTTGGGACATTGATACTCATACTGAAGTGTAAAACAACAGTCAGATATAGGCATTAACTTCAGAAATTCACAATTAACAAATGAGTACTAGAAACACACAAAATTTCATAGTGTTAAAATTCCAATCCATTATGAAAATATTTAGAATATGTTAACTATATCTATATTTAGAATATGTTAAAATTCCAATCCAGTCTGGGCAGGATGACAAAAAAAAATACCATCTTGTTGCCTGGGATAAGGTCTGCCAACCAAAAGAGAAGGGAGGCTTAGGGATAAGGGTAACACAACGCTGCTTTGCTAGGGAAATGGTGGTGGCGTTTAGCCACTCAGCCTAACGCCCTTTGGGCATAGGTAGTTAAGAACAAGTACAAAATCCCCTTAGAAACCTGGCTTCCAGGAAGAGCCCAAGGCCTTAACGTGTCAGGAGCCTGGAAGTCCCTCTCTACAATGCCGGCCACAGTCAAAAGACACATAAGGTTCCATCCCAGAGAAGGTTCGAGAATAAAATTTTGGCAAGACTTATGGTTAGGACCTTCCCCTCTCCGTGAGGTCTTCCCAACCCTCTTTTCCCTTGCCCGAGATCAGGATTCCTCTATTGCCCAAGAAGCCTCTTAGGAGGCCGTAGAGTTTGGAATCCTTCTTTTCAAAGGAACCTAACTGAAGAGGAAACTGCTGATTTCCAGCGGCTATTGAACACCCTACACTCCCTCTTTTTCCTTTCCCACGATAGAGACGAAATTGTCTGGACCTTAACCCCCTCGGGCAAGTTCTCAGTGGCTTCCCTCTATAAAAGTCTCACTTCCCTACCCACCACCCATGATCCCTTCTCTAGAGTTTGGTCCACTATTGCTCCACCAAACGTGCAGACCTTCAACTGGCTTGCCTTTGCACAAAAGGTCCTCACAGTCGATCACCTACAAAGAAGAGGGGTCCCCATATCCCTAATAGGTGCGCCCTGTGTGAATGTGAGGAGGAAACAAACCTCCACTTGTTCTTACTCTATGACTTCTCTTTTGACCTATGGGGCAGGGTATTACAACTATTTGCCATAGAATGGGTTACCCCCCTCGGTAAAAGCCCTCCTAACCTATAACCTTGAATCAAGCTGGCCTAAGGCAGGAAGAATCCTGTGGAAGGCCACTTTAGCTGCTACCATATGGATAGTGTGGCTGGAAAGAAACTAAAGAATCTTCCAAGGCTCTAAGCTTCAAACTCCGGCACTTTTGCACAAGGTAACCACTCTGGTTACCTTCTGGGCCTCCAACCATAAGTTCTTTGCCAGAATTCCAGGAACTTTCTTCCTCTCACAATGGGGAAACATCCTTTATCACCAACCACCGGGGGTAAGAAGGCCAAGCAACTGGTTACCACCAATCCAAGGCAGCATCAAATTAAATTTCGATGGATGCTCCTTGGGGAACCCTGGTCCAGCAGGGGCAGGAGGAGTTTTTCGAGACTTTGAAGGCAGTATACTCATCACCATCTCTGAATACCTTGGCCTCAAGGAGTCTCACCATGCGGAAGCCTTAGCCCTCCTCCTAGCTTTGAAAATTTTCAATCCTTCATGAGGCACAAGACTGATAGTGGAAGGTGACTCGAAAAATGTCATCTCTTGGGCTACTAGAACGAATGATCCACCGTGGCATTTGACCCAGTTTTTGACGAGCTTCACCAAATATGCAGGGCTATGGACGTCTCATGGCAGCATACTTGGTGGACGTACAACGATATTGCGGATCGGCTGGCGAAGGAGGGCGCTAGAAGTCGGGGTCAGGCTGCTCATATAGGGTCCACTTTCTTTTTTGCACTGGACCAGTGGACCTCAACCTAAATTTTTTGGGTCTTTTCTTTTCTTTATTTTCGCGCTGTACATCTCAACGCGGATGGGCATTTTTATAAGCCCTTTCCTTGCCACTCTCTTGTAAAATTTTGTAAGGGGGTAATCTTATAACCCAAATTTTTGCACAGGGTCTACTGACCTATTTTTACCGAGAGTCCCGCCTAGAGGGAACTCTCGGATGAACACATTACTGTACTCTTTCTCTCTACAGCAATAAAATTGTTAACAATTATCAAAAAAAAAAACTATATCTATAGTTTGAATAGATCATGCAACCTAAATTATTCTCGTGTAAGTGCAAACTAACGAATAGTGATTGGCCACTAGTACCAAGAAGCAAAGAGCTAGCCCAGAAAAAAGGCCCTCACATAAGAAACAGAAAAAAGTGTCGATGAATGGGCATGCAGAGAAATTATCTGTTAGCTTGTAACCAAACCACGACACCCACATAACCATTCAGGTTCTTTGTTCGCTTCCCACAATGAAAGGGGAAAAACCTGCCTCCAACACATTCTAGTGCAGTTCTTGGATAGTTTAAAAGCAACAAACAAGCAAACAAAGACCCCAAAACGGAAGCTCATCAATTTTTATAGAGAACAACAAGAAAAACATCATCAATGGCACATACTTGAAGATTTCTTGGAAGCAGCATCAGATGAAATCTTCAACTGAACCAGGCTCTCCCTCAAATCCTTGAAGGAGACTCCGCCAACTCTTGCTTCATTCTCTTTCTCCTCGATCTCTCTCAACTTCTTAAGCCTCTCATTCAATTCCTCGAGCGAAAACCAGTTTTTCCCCTCAACCTCATCAGGCCTCAGCTTCCTTAACTTCTCACCCAACTCTGAATAACTATACACCTTCACAAACTCAGTCTTCAGCGACCCAGAATCACTCACCATCTCTTTCGCAAACATCGAGCTTGGTAATGGCTGTGAAGGTGGGTCACCAGGCTGAAGATTCAGGCTATCTTTGAATTGCTTTAGAGAGAGAGACTTCAAGATATCACTCCCTGCGTTAGAGGCCCTCTCCTTAGCTGTTGAATGGGTTCCACTGGCTCTAAGCTGGCGCAAGCTCTCTCTAATGGCATTGAAAGATAGGTTAGTGGGGGGCTTGGAATCAATGTTTTCTTGATTGCGTTCCATGATTCTGCTATTATAGAGCTCTTGGAAAGAGATTTCTTGAGGTTTATCAGAAGCGGGCTGAGAAGGAGCTGCTGATTTTCGTCGAAACTCAGAGAGATTTTTCCTGATTTCTTCGAGAGAGGCAAGCTTTGAGGGCTTTGGAAAGAGAAATGAGGGTGCTTGTCTAGAGAAAGGAGGGGAATTTGGAGTATTGAGGCGGCGAGGAGGTGAGGGTTGGCGTAAACTAGCTTTGACATCTTGAAAACGAGAGGGAGAAGGAGAAGAAGAAGAGGATTGCCTTGAGGCTTGCAGGTCTTTGAAGGAAGGGAAAGATGGAGTCTCTGTGCTTTTATCTTCATTTGAAGGGGGAGGTGGAGAAGGAGGAGGAGATGATGATGAAGAAGAAGAGAGGAAGCGAATGGTGCTGCGGGTTTGTGAGGTGGTCTTCGCTAGGGCTCTTACAGAGCTCCGTTTCAGACTGTGAGAGATCGCCATGGACGTCATCCTCTGCTTCTTTGTGGCTTTCACCTGCGCATTTGGTTGCAGGTGAAGAGAGAGAAGCGGGATTGAAGCCAGAGAGAGAGAAGATAGAGAGCAGGCCCTCTGATGACTTAGCCGGAGCTCTGGAGCGGCCGTAAGGTTTTAGGGTTTTACAGTTAGCAAGCTAGGGGTAGTATAGTGTAGTATTGTACTACTATCAGGTATACAAATATTGTATCAGGATGGTGTAATGACCGTACAAAAGTTGGATGGACAGTGATAAGAGTGGAGGGATCTACGGCTTGGATTGTATAGTCGACGCGCACTCCACGTCTTTCACCAGTTGATTGCAAAAACGATGGAAAGGAAGGCTTTACTACACTATGGTACATAAATATAGGTGTGGTAAGGTGTTAGCGTCTGGATATCCTATTGATATATATCATTACCGTATTATTGTATATGGTATTGATATATATCATTATGGATATGGATATCTCGACTTAGTATTAATATGCATTATTATGGAGTATAGATATATATAAATATATATTATTATATATACATATCAGTATGGATATGTCTATGTATGATATATAAATACAATTTCTAACCTAAAGTTGCAACCTTAAACAATCCAATTAAAATGCACCTCTAAATTTATCATACCATATGGTGTAAAGTTTTATTAGGATTATCTCATACTCTATTTTTATATCTAGTTATGAAATTTTAAACTCCAAAAAGGGTTAAAATCAAGTATATCTATAGATAGGAAAATCTTGAAAATGATCGGTCTAAATAATGTGTTTACAAGACGCACAATTTTTGGGATTCAAAATCTTTTTTTTTTTTCATATTTATACAACTCGATGTCGAGATGATCAAGGGTTTTCAACATTAAAAAAATATTTTCGGATGGATTTTTTAGGCACATCTTTAATTCTACATTTTAAGGCTACAACCTTATATAAATTTTTTTCCCATAAATATTACTAATAATTTGGAAGTGGTATTAAATATTAGTCATTGAAATACCTTAAATACATTTATAATATTAAGGTATAGAAAAAAGACATATTTGATTAGAGAGAGAAAAAGACATAGAATTTGATGGATTTTATCTTCACATACAGGCTTTTGTTACATAATAATTGCCTAAAATTGTAAATATATTAAAACTTCATATAACTTTTGCAAAGACTCCGGATCATTTGAGGGAGGTAGAGAGAAGGAGAGCTAAAATTGTAGAGAAATAAAGTAACTATCAATTATAAATCAGAAATAAAGTTTTTTAGTACCATGTCCCAAAGTACAAACAAATAAATTAAATATACTAATTATTAAAGTTCAAGTTCCCCTAGCAATATACACTAGTTTTTGCAAATATTGTAAAGCCAAATTTAACACGAATAGAAACTATTAATTGAAGCCTTCATTCCAAAAATGTATGCTTTATTCTCAAAATTCTTTAGTGCATCTTCCATTGAAAAATATTTCTAATGTAATTTGCATTCAACTAATTATTTATCTGAAAATAATTCTTTTTTCCCTAATGTACAATAAAATTCAATTATGTAAGATTTAATCGAATAATTTGTTTGTTAATATTTTTATGTTGTTATGTATTACAAGGCTTGTTAAATAATTCTTATTGAGTATTAGTTTTAAAATGATTTCTATGTTCAATTATTTTATTTCTCTTATTTTTTTATTTTCAAATTAATTTGCTGATATAATTGAAATTATTTGTATTTATAAGTAAACATTGTTATAGAAAATAGAAAAAGAGAAATTGAAAAGAAAAGGTTTAGTTTTTCTTTTTTCTTTTCGCATTTACTATACCTAATTTGAATTTCCAGGTAATTATTTATGTAAAAATGATTTTATAATATATTTTAATTATATTATCTAAGTATCAATAAAATATTTTTTATGTTAATATTTTTTAGTATCATCTCACTTATTATATTGTATTAATGGTAAATAATATAATTTCTAATAAATGTTAATAAATATTATTAAGTTTTTTAAATCCCTTAGAAAGAAAAAAAAAATGTATAGGGGGTAAGGTTTTTTTATATTTAGTAATGTAATTTGTATTTTTAGATATTAATTCTACTATAATTAGAATTCAAGTTATTATTTATTTGAAAATAATTATTTGTTTGCTAATGTACAATAAATGTAAGTATATAAGATTGAATCAGATAATTTGTTTGTTAGTATTTCTATTTTTTATTTAATATGATGCTTGTTGAATAATTCTTACTAAATATCGGTTTTAAAGTAATTATTTTTTTCATTTATTTATTACTCTGATTTTTATTTACTTATATAATTGAAAGTATTATTACTTCTAAATAAATATTATAACGGAAAATAGAAAAGAGGGGAAATGCAATAATGAAAAAAAAAAAATATTATTTTCTTTTTGCATTGACTATATGCAACTTTGAATTTAAGTTTAATAAAACAATTTGTATCTCAATACTTTTCGGTATCATGTCCCTTATTATCATATATTTATGGCAAATAAGATAATTTCTTATAAATGGAACTAAATATTATTAAGTTTTTCTAATCCCTCAAAAAGAAAACAATGAATTATAAAGAGGCAATTTTTTGCTCTTTTTGTTTTCTTTGGTTTTTTTTCGTAGATTAGTTAAGATTAGGCCCCTTTTGGTTTTGAAGGGTTTCTGAGAATGGAGGTTGTGACCTTTAATTTTTATTTTTAGATAATTATATTTCTCAGATAATTATTTTTTATTAACATAATATAATTTTTATTAGATTATCAAATATCTATTAGTATAATTTACATTTTAGCTTATTTATTAGGGAAATTATCGCTAACATACCCATATTTTTAAAAAATTGGAAAAAAAGAAACCCAACTTTCCAAAACCCCACCCATACCCTTTTTTCCCATTTTCACGAATTTTTGGATGAAACTATCTTTTACTGTGGTCTTTGTACTGTAAAAAGACTTACGGTATTTTTGATACCGTAATGTTTAGTTGCCCTTATACAGTAATAAGAGTACCGTATTAATAAAAAACAATTTTACGATAGTATGGTTATCGTATTGGTTTAAAAACAAATTACGGTACCTATAGGACAGTAATGTTTCCAAACTTTGTTACGGTAATAGAGTTACCATAATTTTATCTTGCTTTCTCTTTTAACCAATTTTTTCATAAAACCTATTTTGATGAATTGTTTAGCACTTTCATCCTTTTTTTATCTCTGTCGTCTATTCTCTTATCTATTTTATATCATATCATCTATTATTTATCAATCTTTGAAGGAAGTCTATCAAAGGATCAAATTTACACACCAACTAATTTTTAGGTATGTCATCAAAATATTTTGTTGTTTTTAGCATATAAAAAAAATATTAAGCAGCATAAATAAGTTTTAGATGCATTTATATTGTTGCATAAATAAGTTTTAGATTTATTTAATGGTTGACCATCAAAATATGTTTTTCAATTATTTTTATATTATGACAATTGTAGTTTGGATGACAATTTTTTATATATTATGACAATTTATTTAATGGTTGGCCATCAAAATAATAGCGGATGTAGTTTGGATGGCCATTGTAATTTTTTTTTATATTAGGACAATTGTATTGCAATCTAATGTTCCTCATGCAACTTCCTCACTATTTGTAAGCATTTTGAATTTATTCTAAGTATTTTTTTCATGCTTCCATCTGAAATTTCTATGCAGTGATTCAGCTTGTACACATCAATAATGGGTGAGAACAAAGTGAAAATCATTTTACACTTTGGTGGATTTTTCAATAGGAAACTTAATGGAAGTATTTTTTATGACGGTGGGGACGCAAATGTTATATTTTTTAAGGGGATCCCATCATTTGAACAAGTCAATGATCACTTATCAAAAGTATCAAATTATGCCCCAAGTACCATGACTACTAGGTATATTGACTCAAGGTTATCAAGTAATATGATATGTATTGATGATGATAACGACAATGCCAATATGATGGAAGGGGTTTCTCCTATTGCTGTGTACGTATCAAACAGACCTATTGAGTCGGAATATCAACAACCAACAATGTCCGATATTGGTCCGTCTGATTGCACTGAATATGGACCACTAACAATGCCCGATAATGATCCATCAAGATTGGTCATGTAAGAAGTTTGCAATGGAAATCATTAATTTTCTTATTTGTCAATTTTTTGTTATGGGTATAATTCTGACTTGTTTTGACTTTTTTTTTCTACAACACATCCCGACCAGAGCAATAGAAAGCCCCCTGAGGATTAACCGTTACGAAGTTGTACTTCAAGATGGTTAAGATTTTGATGATGTACAAGCATGCCGTAATCATCTTATTGATTATGCCATATCACGAAACATCAATATGAAGTTCATAAAAAGCGAGGGATGTGTATGGGCAATGTGTGCTACAGATGGTTGTTCATGGCAAGTGCGATGTTGGAGGGTTAATACTACAAACTTTTTTAGAGTGAAGATGTTGGTAAACATGCACTCATCTGCCGGGGGAATAAGTAGGGTTCACAACCACTTACTCGGAGCCACTGGGTGGCAAACAAGATCAAAGACCGGTTGAGTGCCCGATCTTACACCTAGAGATGTGGTTAATGATATACAACGTGATCACGGTGTCATGTTATCCTACCAACAAGTATGGCGGGGCAAAGAGGTTACACAACAGATAAACGAGGGTTCCAGTGTAAAGTCATATGAGGATTTCGCTAACTATCTTCATAAGATCCGAGTCACTAACCCTGGAACCTTAACCATCATTCAAACAGATGATCATGATAGATTTGAGTGTGTGTTTACAGGCAATCGTCCATGTTTGTATAGATTTATGTTTGGTTGTAGGCCGTTAATAGGACTCAATGAGACATTTTTGAAGGGAGGATATAAAGGGATATTATTGGCTGCAGTTGGGGTAGATGCGAACAATATATTTTTCCTATAGAATATGCAGTGGTTGCGAGTGAAAATACAGTAAGTTGGACTTGGTTCCTAGAGCTTCTGAATGAGCAGTTTTTCGAGAAATCTGATTTGCCAGTATTGACTATTGTCTCGTATCGTCAGAAAGGGTTACAAGCCGCAATTGAAATAGTGTTTCCAACCAGTGAATAAGGCTATTGTATGAAACACCTTGCCGA